GACCAGCGTTATAATTAACTACTTGGATAAACAAACATATAACGATGTGAATTGAGAGACATCAGTCATCAGATACCAGCACATTTACACACGACAAGAAGAAAATGGAAAGAACAGGGAAATGGAGACCAGTTAGATAATATCTATGCCTAAAAGCGAATGGCTGGATTAGAAGGCAAACAAAAGGGCTTTCGGAGATACAGCAGAAGATGAGTACGAGAAGTAGGAGTAAGAAAGAAACTCGGCAGAACGATTTGGAAAAAAATGAAAGCGAAAATGAAGAACTGAGCTATTCTATTTCTCATGCATTTACGAATCCATATGATGGTCACCCGGTTAGCTACCAGCATACGATGTGATTCCTATATATAGTAATTTGCTGGGCAGGGCAAACGTCAGTTTGGAATACTGTAGTCTCAAATTGTGAATATATGTCTTCGACTGTGCCTGTTATGTCGTTTCGGGGCACTTGTGAACATTCGCATACACATTCGGAATTTGTCGGTTGAAAAACATTCGGACCTAGAAATTCTTAAAATGAGGGTAAAATTGGCATGAAAATTCTATTGGAGAGATGGAACAAAAAGGAAATTTTTTTAGTGTAAATGATACGAACCTGCATTCCGCTCGCATATTTGGCACCTCGTGGCTATGAAACTCGTGGCAAAGTTCGCAAATCTTTTCGGCAACCTCCATTAAGGGCATGTTCATTTGCGGTGAGCATTCATTATCAGTCAACGGCTCTTCGACAATACGTGCATCAATAACAGCTAATAGAGTAAGCAGTGGAAACACGAAGTAGCTAAGCATCCTCTTTCAATAAACGCGATTATTTAGGAGTTTTGTACGTCAGCAGTACAGTTATGCTGCTATGGGACTGACTTTGCAGAGTGGAGTAAAGTGGATCTACACACACCTATAGGTAACGAGTCGAGTGTCGAATCGAGAGAGAACTGATGAGGCTTCGTTCAGAGGAGAGGCGGGTTATAGGTGGCTTTATATAGGGCGCAAATATGGCCGGAGAATGTGGGGAATGCCAAGCGGCCACGCCCACAAACCTCTCGCTCTCACGGAGTCGCCAACATTATTTTTGCGCTGGAAAGCCTGAAATTTGTAGTGCAATCATTGCTAAAGCAGCTTAGCTCGAAGTTTA